AAAAACCAAAAAAACAAAAAAAAAAAAAAAAAAAAAAAAAAAAAAAAGAAATACTAAGGAGGCTGGGCAGCCTTCTCTGGGCAAGACAGAGGCCAGTCTGGGGTAGATTCCTAAGAATCGGGCCATCTCTTATGGTTAGGCCTTCCCCATGGACTACTGGCCCACAGTAGCTAACAGAGGTCTGGGTTTGGCTGGGGGAGCTGAAGCAGTTGCCTGCCGTTAAAGAGTGAATGTCCCTGCAGCCATCAGGATGAAGGCAAGTCCGAGATAGACAGGATCCCAGGATGAGGACAGGGGTATAGTCCCCAGGAACAGCACAGAGGTAAGTCTGTCGCTAACCCATCTGCTTTCTATTCATATTTCCAGGAACAAGAACTCTGGATGAAGGGGGATGGCCCGAGACTCCTTGTGGTGGTGTCAACCTGACAAAAACCTAGAATCCGCTGGGAGACAGGCCCCTGGATATACCCACGGGTTACAGGAAGACCCACCTTCATTGTGGGCAGGAGATAGTGGACTGTATTTGTAGCTGGAGGGAGTGCTGGTATTTGTAGCTGGAGGGAGGGCTGAGCACAAGCGTGCATGCATTCATCGCTCTCCCGGTAACTGCTTCCACTCCTGATGGCTCAGCTTCTCCGCCCTGATCAACTGAAACCCTAACTGTGGCCCTGCTGTTGCTTGTTGTTTCTGGGGTGTCATGAGGCTAGAACTCTGCCCCTCACCTCTGGGACAGGACACAAAGTCAGAGCTGAAACATCTCCGGGATGCCCTGCGGAACCTGTGCAGCTGCCTAGGCTCTGTGTCGAGCAGCTCCAACAGCACCGTAAACTCTGACTATACCTTATTTTGTTTTGTTTTTTTATTTATTTTTTGAGACAGGGTCTCAATATGTAGCACTGGCTAGAAGCTTTTGCCTATTTTGCTCAAACTTCTAAAGCGTACCTGGCACACAGTAAGTGTTTAATAAAGATTGGTGTTGAACACTTCTGGAGCTGGGCAGGCTGAGGCTTTGGTTTCCGTAGTGCAGCAGAAAACAGGGAAACCAGGCACTCTCAACCCTACGTGTTGGAGTGGGAAAACTCAAAGTGGCAGATGCTGTGCAGAGCGACTCACACACCTGCAGGAGGCGGGACGTGGGGCGGGTCTGGCCCAGGGCAACCGTGGCAAAGGGGACTTCCGGCTGCCCAGCCTCTGCAGCTCTTGATATTTGCTAAAACTGTTCCTACTGGGTTCAATTTACTCTGCAGATAAATCTCATTGCCAGCCAAATGCCGTCAGGAGGAGTCACTCAGTCTTCTCGCTCCCCACTCCCCGCTCCAAGGCGGCAGCATCCAGATCCCTCTCTTTCTATTTCGGTCCCTCTGGCAGCATACCTCGGATGACCTCCCTCCTCCAGCCTCCTCCTTTGGGTCCCTCACGGAGCCTGGCTTGGTTATATCAGCCATCCCACTGCTTCTCCCTCAGCCACTGCCCCCTCTCTGGGCTCGACACATCTTCTTCTTCACCGAGGTCATAGCATGCATGGCTAAGGGTGTGGCCACCAAAGACGGGCTGCCTGAGTTCAAATCCTGAATGGACCAAGTTGGGTGAAGCCTTTAACTGCTCTGTGCCAGTTTCCCCCTCCATAAGGTGGGGTGATGAGGACAGTTTTCTTGATAAGGAATGTATTTTATATGAGCATATATTAAATAATAGCTGTGCATCGGGCTCTCTTCTACGAACTTTTCCTGTAGAAGCACTTAATTCCCACAAACTCCTAGGGGAAGGTTTATTTATTAATTCACTCGTTTATTTAAAACTAATTTTAAAAACACGGTCTCTTATAGCCCTCACTGGCCTTGAACTCACTCTTTAGGCAAGGATGACCTTGAACTCCCAATCTTCCTGAAAGTACAGGTGTTAGCCACTATGCCCTGCTGCAAAAAGTATCTCTATTATTATTACAACCGAGGTAACAGAGGCACAGAGAGATATAGTATCTTCTCCCGTGCTGTGCAACCAGAGTGGGGAGCTGAGAAGCAATCTGTGGAGCCAGGCTCCAGCCCTTGTGCAGTTGTTGGAAGGATTAAATATGCTTATAACAATGCCTGCTTTACAGAAAGCCACAATAAGTCTCAGCTGCCGCTACAAGTGTTATGCCCTCCTACCCCAACTCTTGGAAGCCTACTTGGTCCCAGATGGCTGTTGTGTTTATGTAAAAAGGCTCCTTCTGAGCTCAAGCCACACTGCAGCCTCCTCTGCCCCATTAGGGACACAGCCCTGTAGTACAACAAATAGCATCCACTCTATACATGCTCTGTTTTCTGGTCAATTGTCTGCATGTCTCTCTCCACGGATGGCTGGGACATCCGGCTTATCCTGGCTGAGAAGTCCCCAGAGGACAGGAAACGCAGCAGTGTGAACTCAGCATGAAATGAAATGGGTCTAGAGTGCCAGCGGTGCCAGCGACATCCTGGGGCCTGCTAGAGTCAAGGGAGATGGTGGCAAGGTGTGTGGCTCGGTGACCCTGTTTCCTTCCCGGCCACTTGGCCGGGGTCTACCGCGATTGGCCTGAGCTTGGACCATGTGCAGTCACCACAGTGAGTCCTGGTGGCAGATGGAAAGGAAAGGGGATGAGAGGAGAAGGGCATGAGCTGCAGACAAGCAGGGCTCAAATCCTGACACAGCCCGGAGCTGCGAGTCTTCAGACAGGCTTCAGAGCCTCCCAGAGCCTGAGGTTTTCCCTTTCTAACAGCACTAAGACCACTGTTGAAGAGCCACACTGTATTCACAAAGAACTTTGTATAAGAAGCACCTACTGTGTGCTTACACATAGTAGGCTTCGATAAATGGTGGCCATCTTTATCACTTGCTGTCTTAGCATTTGGGAAATTGGGGGGCAATGGTGCTAGTTTAAGTCCATCTGCTGACTCAGCATCAATCATGAGCCTAAGGCTGATCCCTCCTCAGGGAGAATGAGGCCAAGGTCGAGGGAACTACAAGATCTACTGGAGCTTTTAGTCACTATGTTCTTTGATGCTTGCTCTCGCCTCTGTGCAGCCATGAGCTCAGAACAATGTCTTCATGCTCTCCCCGAGAGCACGGCACTCATACCTCACTCTTCCCCCAGACTAAGTCCTAGCAGATATGCTGCGTTTCTTAGAATGAGCACTCTATGCTCCAGTCCACGAGACATGAACTTGTGGCTTAAAGACAGAGTCTGCTCACCAAGGGAAAAGACAAGGACCAGAAGTAAACTCTCCCAGCAGGAGGCCAACTGCACAGTCCTCTCCTGGTCTATGTGTTTATCAACCCTCCTATGAGAAGGAGGCGGGGAGGAGGCTCTAGCTGGTTCCCCAGTGACATGTGTTTCTCTGAGAGAAGATCCCTTCAGTGTGTGTCCACTTAGCACTCATTCAAACGTGCCACAAAGTGGAAGTAATTAAGGAATCCATGTAAACCTCAAGGCAACCCTTTCTAGTCCTGTACACGGCCTCACTCACACATGTGGCCATGTGGCAGAGTCAGCCCTGGTTTCCTTGCCTCTTCAAATTAAGATCTGATGACGACCTTGCAGAAAGAGCTGCGCTGAGTGTGAGCAGATGGGCTCAATGCCAAGTTGTCCCTGGAAGAGCCAGGGGACCCTGGGATAGTCGGGGAACGCAGAAAAGCACCTGTGGACTAGAGTCTTAGACTCTTGCCCCCAGGGCCAAAGCAGAAGGAACAGCTGGCTGTGGACAGTCTTTGGCACACATAAAGGCCATTCCCAACACCCCAGCATGGTGGCAAGACATCATGGGAAAATTTCTTCTTGCTATATAAAGATTATAAAGTGTTCGTTTGGACTCTGTTCCAGGCAGAAAGAACTCTTTGGCATTCTCCTTCTCTCTCCCTTCTAGGACCCTGCACTTCCCCCATACTTATGAGAAGAGCAGAGAAAGCCTGGTGGCTTCTACTTAGTTGGAAGAGGAAACCTGGCTCACAGGGGAGGCATGGGCAACAGACTGCTCACTCTGGATTCCTTGCTCATCAAACAGGGAATTCACCAATAGTCTGAGCCTAAAGGAAACTCTCCTATTTCCCACATATTAGTATTAAATCTCTTTAAAATTAGTATTAAATCTGATTTAAATTAGTATTTAAACCAGGAAATAACCTGAAGATGATGGCGCACACCTTTAATCCCAGCACTCAGGAGGCAGAGGCAGGTGGATCTCTGAGTCTGAGGCTGGCCTGGTCTACATAGTGAGTTCTGGGACAGCCAAGGCTACACAGAGAAACCCTGTCTCAAAAATGAAACCAAAAACAAAAGAAAAAAAAAGAAAAGAAGAAGAAGTAGAAATGAGTCCACTGTCCCATGTGAAGTGGGGTCCACTGCAGCCTGCTCTATGCATACCTAATACAGTCAACTGCTTTGTCAACAGGTATGGGCAGGACACTGGGTGGGACTTCAGGGACACCAACAAAAGGGTTTGCAGAGCCACCCCCTATACTGTGAGCTCCTTGAGAGCAGATCAAAGCCCCTCTCCTCTTCTGTAGTGCTAGCAGTGTTTGTTTTGCACAGAGCAAATGCTCACTGGGCACTTGCTGACTGAGTAGTGAACGCACGAGTGAAAGACTCACAACACGTCTCGAGTGAGTTAGGAAGCAAAAGGGCAAAACAGAGCAGAAACTTTATGGTTGCCTTTCTTCCTCTCCTCCCTATCTTCTTCAAGCTCAGTAAAGCCTAGGGCCCCTCACAAAGAAGGCATATCCTAACCTAACTCTCTCTCCATCCATCCCATCAAAGAGCTCAGTGGATCCTCAGCAGAGATGTGTCTGTCACCATGACAACCAGCGAGGACCACAACACAGGCAGTGCCATGAACCTTGATCCCCTTCCCTTGGTATCTTGGGGGAGATTGGCGCTTCCCATTGTTCTGTGTGAAGCCCACCTCTAGAGTTCAAGGCTTCTTGCCTCCCCACACACAGACCCCCTAACCTGGGATCTGGAGGACCATTTTCAGATCTGACTGGTAAGGGTGCTCTCCAAGATAGCAAGTCCAAGGATTCCGAGTGTCAGCCTGCAGCAGACATGAAAAGCAAAAGTCCTCTTCCCCAGCTCATGGGGTCATAATTAGGAAGGAGCGCCTGGCTAGGTGGATGGAGATCATTAGCCTAACAATGTGGTATACACATAAGGAAGCCATTACACTAACAAAACTGCAAATGTAAAAATAGAGCCGCACATAGTTTCCTGGTTACCGCATTCTATTCTGATGCTTTGTCAGCGCCTGTGAAATTCAGTTCGCTTTTGTCCCCTGCCGTGCCCTGCTCCCACTGCATGTGTGCTATTGTGGGAGGAGATGGTTACCCTTTAAATGCCCGGGCCTTGCCCCAGGACTGTCCTCCGCAAGGCCTGCTGTAAGAAGTGAGTGCGGCGGCCCTGCAGTTGCTCCAAGATCACTGCTGTTGAGCTCTGTAGAGATGGCTCCGAAAGGCCGGTTCACCTACCTTCCCACCCAACGGAGAAGGCACAGTGACTATCACAGTGCTATCACTGTCAAATGATGTCAAGGCCAGGCTGTGAGCTAACCTCACATTTTGCCCACTGGAGCAGAGCACAGAGATAAAGGTATAAGACCAACCTTCTGGACAGGCTTGGGCCTTCTGAGCAAGTTCATTACGGACTGACGGTGTCAGAGGTATAGGATTTGTCTGGCATGCATGGGCCCATGGGTTTACTCCTCAGCACCGCAAACAAAATCAAGTTTGTTTTGCCAGAGCAAATTTCCCGTGGCCTAGGATGCTGACAGATAGAGTGTGTTCCCCGGGTGTGCTGTCACGTGTAGTTTGGTGCATACGCTGCTGAATTTTACGGCTTATTTTTATTAATATTGCTAGGAAATCAATCAACACATAGACCTAAACGCTATGCAGAGTGTAGAATATGACTCTCTTAGGTCCTAGCCAGTGGGTCCCAAGGCACTCATCGAGCGACATTGGACACCCGAGGACATACTTGGAAGAGGCATATTACTGAATTTGAATTCTAGGGTCTGCTCGGTCAGTCTGGGGTCTTTGGGTTTGTTAGCAGCATATGTGCTCTGGGTGACACTGTGACTGCAGGGTGACCTGGGGAAGGAGACAGGTGTGGGAGTGGCTTATTATTAAGAGTGTTCCTGGGCGTGAAGCAGGGGTCCGGAAGCTGGGCAGGTAGTTATGGACTGCCATCCGGGCTCCCAGCACCTTTGCATTGAACTTGGGATTCACCACAACCTGGCTGTCACTCTCCCGGCTCGTTACCTTTCTATTGTGATCTCCCTGTGACACACCCAGAGATTCTCACAATCTGAGCACTGGACACACGTGACAGTGGCCCCTCATGGCCACCTTCCTAACCTGACCCTGAGGTACTCTTGGACTTGACAGCTTTACCTTGAGTTGAGTCAAGCATGGAAGAAATTCTCAGGGCAGTTCACAGGTTAGTTAGATCTCATTGTCATGAGACAGACCTGAGGGCCAGGGAGATGGCTCTGCAGGTAAAGGCACTTGTTATCAAGGCCTTTGATATCAAAGGCCTATGAGTTCCAGACCAAATGAGATCAGTCCTGGAGCTCATATGATGGAAGGAGAGGACCAATTCTTACAAGTTGTCCTCTGACCTCCACATGTGCCCCGACACCTGTATACACACACACACACACCCCTAATTTTTGAAAACTAAAAGGCTGGCTTGGTGCTAACCTGATCTTCATAGCAAGCTCCAGTCCAGCTAGGGTGACACAGTAGAACTCTGCTTCAAAAAAATGGACTAAAATAAACATTTTTTTAAAGAGATAGATCCAAGATGGATGTGGTGGCATCACCCAGCACTGGAAAATGACAGCTTGGAGTCCTTAGTGAGGTCCTGTCACAAAACAATAGAAAAGAAGCAGGTCCCTAGGCCCAGGCTACTTCCATCCCTTGGAGAGAAGGAGAGTCCAGACAGCGATGGGCCCTGTGCAGGGAGTCTTCCCCAGGCAGGGTACTTACCCATGCAGGACAAGCTGTCCTCAGTTCTCCTAGTGGGGCTGGTGTATCCATCAAGGGTCCAGCTTTCCTGAGGAACGGGGCCAGGCTCCTGGTCCGTCTGCAACCTGTGGGGCCGAGAAAGAAAGGTAACTCATGTCTTCAAAGCCCTTCTGTGGGCTAGGCAAACCCTTTCTGAGCTTGGGCTAGGCAAACCCTTTCTTATCTTGGGTCCTCTCATCTACCGTGCTCTAAGCTCTCTGGGCCAACCCCTCCTGGGGACATGTGTACATGCGGACACTCCAGCAAGCAGCAGAGCTGGGCCAGGAAGGAGTCCCCGAGGGCACTGAAATGTTCAACATCTGTTGCCCTTTGTTGCCCAGCAGCATACATCGTTCCCAGAACAGAAAGATACCCCCCCCGCATCTCAGGCCCGGGTTCCTCTGCCCTGCTGTGATTCTTGCCCTTAGGATGCTCATGTTTGCGCAGCAGAAAGCATACCCGCAGGGAAGGGCTGTCTCTGACCTTGAAGCCACTGACTCCTGGTACTCAGAGGGCATTTGGCCTCTGTGGAACTGCTCACCTCAAGCACATTAGGTACCTCAGCCTGAGTCACAATGACTCCCAGGAGGACAAGCCCATGCTAGATCCATGGTGCCAACAGGAAGAAAGGGTGAGGTCTCTGGACACTGGCTACCAAGTGTACAGACCTCAGAACTCAGCCCCAACCGTACAATTGCTCGAGGAACAAAGGCTGTGGGAGCTCTCCTTACACGCAATTACCCTGGGCTCAGAGCAGTCCCGCCTATCCCCATATCCCCGCCCAATGTCACCAGCTAAATGGACCCTTTGGCAGCTTGGCAGGAGGGGGAAGGGAGGGCTGTGCAGACAAGAGGGGAAATTGACAGGCTGGGCCAGGGGACCCTGGGAGTCTCTAGCGCTGCTGTAATTTGTCTTTTAGGTTTTCACTTTTTCCAATACCTCTACGTCTGGGACTCTGAATCTGTCTCTGCCATGAGCTCACTGTGTAACCTAAGCAAGCGTCTTCCCCTCTCTGGGCCTGGTTTTCATCAGGACCAGGAGTGATGACCTCTGAAGGGCCAGGCTGAAGTTCCTTACTGTGTTTACAGTAGGGGTTTGTGGCTATTGCTGCCTTTCTCTGAGCCATCCAGGCAGCACTGAGGTGTTGTATGCCTGCCACCCTCAGATGGTTGCTGGGTACAAGGCAGGGTGGGAGTAAACTGAGAACGCAGGCGATCTCGTTCTGCTGGCCCCTGGGAGGTGTTGATACAATGGGGACACTCATCTTATTCAAGTGTACAACAGTCAGGGGACAGGGGGAAATGAAACAGTTGTTTTCCTGGAAAAAAAAAACCAGAATGGACAGGCAACATATTGTTGTGAAAATAATGGGACAGCTTACTGAGGTGAGGGAATTCTATATAATATTTGAAAGCTTTCGCTGATAGTATTATATATAAGCAGTGTCTGACTTGGAGGAGACAGGTGCTGACCAGCTCTGGAACTGGTTTACTGTCACAAGTCTACTGCGGCATTGTGTCACGACGACAGGTAAGAATGAGCCATCTGTCCGTACCAGGATTCCCAAACCCAGGAGCATGAAGGAAGGTGGCCTTTGCCTCTCTGCTATTAGTTGGCTCTGCACATGAGTCTGTACCTGCCTCTAATCCCTATATATGCCAGGGTTTGTCTCACTGTTCAGCCCAAAAGGACAGGGCAACTTAGGCCAGAAGTCAGAGAGAGGCTGAACCAGAGAGATGAGGAAAACCACAGTGGTGACCTCAGTGTCTGCACTCTCCTGACACCTTTAGCCAGCCATCCCTCCTTAACTAAAGTCTGCTGCAAGACTGGCCCTCGGATGGAAGGCATGCATGATCGGCGGACGACAGTGCTTGGTAGCAGGGGAGAGGTTCGATGACGATGCAGGCACATCGGCACTTTTACAGAAACATACCGGGAGTAGGGAGAAAGTGGTGATGGAATTGGACGTGTGAGTCCAGAAACTGGATTGGCCAGAGGGACATTCTGCCTTCTGGGGTCCAAGAAGGAAGGGCATTAAGAGGAGGTGGGAGGTGGCGGGCCGTTGAGTGTCACTGGGTTGACCACACCCAAGATTTTGAAAAGATTTGGCTGGGAGGTTGGGGCAAAGTGAAAGATCGGTAATGGATTTGTTCCCCAAACCAGGCTGGAGACAGGAGGAGGAAACCCATTAACTTCTGCTTTTGAATACACCTGAGGTTTTACAACAGCCCAAGGTGTTGGGGGTGGTGCGTAGATTTCCACGAAAACAGGATGTCTATGGATTCTAGGGAACAGATGGCACCTCCTTGGCTGTAGAGCTTAGATGAGTGGCCTAGCCAAGCTCTTGGCAGAGCTTGTCCATGGCAGCAGCTCTCGGCCGTGCAGGGTGTGCAGAGATCCAGCCCATCTGCCTACAGCATGCCGGGGTATCCTCCATCCAAATCTTACTCCTGCTGTGACCCATCCTCCAACCACCATTGATGGCCTGGGAAGTGCAAGGTCTAAGGGTGGGCAGTGAGGACACCGCTTCCCCGAGGTGCAACAATCCCATTTCTGTTTAAAATGCAAGCATGCAGTCAAGGTATGCTGAGTACTGGAAACACCGCTCTGTTTAAGTTGCGTTAAAATGTTCAGAGGGAAATATTCCGACCTCTTTGAAAAACGCCAGACTGTAAATATACCAGGGGACTTGTGGGGTGGATAATATAAAACCTGAGACTACTTAATACCTTGACACTTTTTCCCAAAGAATGAATTCAAAATGAAGGGAATCAGGTAGGAAAAGCAAGTCATAGTCGCCTGGGAGGCATTTAGCTGTTAGGGAAAAGGCCATTCCAAAGAAGGCTGGGGCTCGAGTGTGGCTCAGGAGTAGAGTCCTTCCCGAGCATTCAGGTGGCTGTGGGTTCGAACCCCAGCAAAGGGGAAACAAACAAGGAACACCTTCCACATCTATGCTTCTTGGTTCAGCTTTAGCTTCAGACTCTCAGGGGAGAAAGAAAAGGGACAGATGTGACCGCCAATCTGTGCACTGAGTTGGGAGGAACAGTTCGGTCAAAGGGCTCACCTGGCTAAGGACTCCTGGGTTGTGGAATCTGCTGGGATCTCGCAGTAATGAAACTCCCTGCCTTATTGTCAGCCTTTCTCGCTGTTGGAAAGTTCTTCCTATCCTGCCTCAAATCTGTCTTGAGCGAATTCCTAGCCACCATGCCACTGAGTCAGCTCTTTGGAGCTGCCCCAAGCAAACTAATTCATCTTACAACATGACAGCCTTTCCCATATTTGAGAACAGCTCACAGACCATCCTGCACCTTCTCATTCCAAAGCAAACTAACTTCTTTGCTTCCTCTAATTATTCTTTAAACACCTTTGTGGGACTCCTCGCCAATCTGCCGGCCCTTTTCTAAATGTGTTTTGGCATGCCGATGTCCTTTTAAAACCTGGTGCTCATAACTGAATGTAGCACTGCAAGTGAGGCCTGACCACAAGCAGAGTATAGCGGATATTAACTTCCTTGTCCAGACCCCAACACTTATTCCTGTGATATAAAGTTGCACACAATTGTTTAGAGATCTATATGCACATGAGTTGATCTCTAGTGAAGGATGATACTCATAGGGCCCTGGCCTCCAGCTGCTCTGATATCTATCTCAGAGGTCCCCAGTACCCAGGGGCTGATGCACGGGCTTTTATATACTCCAAAATGCAAACTGGCAGCTACTTCCTATATTCGCATGGGAGTGGGGGAAACTCAGGAAGTGAGTACGGCCAGGAAAGGGTTTAGTTTGCACTCAGGCATTTCTTTTTCTTTCTTTATTTATTTTGAAACAGGGTTTCTCTGTAGCTTTGGAGCCTCTCCTGGAACTAGCTCTTGTAGTCAAGGCTGGCCTCAAACTCAGAGATCTGCTTGCTTCTATCTCCCGAGTGTTGGGATTAAAGGCACGTGCCACCACCACCTGGCTGCATTCGGGCATTTCTAACCTACATAATGATTAGTAATTAAAATTTAGTTTACTCAATGTGGTCATATTAGTAAAGAGTTATTTTTACTTAAAAGGCGTAGTTGGCTAAATGTTATTCCACGTACTCGACTTGCCATGTCTGAAAGCTAGAGAGGCTGGCATGTTGGCCACACTGCTGTGGGCACACGGCCACTGCCAATGACAACAACACCTACGTAGCGATTTAAGAAGTATTACTGACTGCCAATACACCATGCACATAAACAGGCACAAGGCCGTGCGACAAGCGGTGCAAGCAGCGAGAGAAATAGAGATGGACAGACAGACACAGAAACGCTATGAAAACAGCACGGAGAAGCAGTTGAGGCTTTGCTCAAGCGACTGAAGACTCGGAGCTCAAGACAACAGTTTGTCTAACACACAGTGGTGGCAAAGGGCCTGCACAAATTTGGCAAGCCGAGAGCACCCGCTGACCCTCCTGCCTGTGTATCGGGTGCTTAGACATCTTTAATACGCTAATATAGTTTCATCATTTCCAAGTGTGTGAAATGGCCATGTTAGGGACACCCTCATGAGTCTCTGTTGTCAAGGTCCAGAGTTGAGAAAAAGCAGAGGATTTAAGATTATAGGTCTGTCTTGCACACCCAAGTTTCTAGCCATCCCCTTTCCTAGCTTTTGGCCCTGTAGTCTCCACCAGCCATTTGTCACCAAAGCTTCTGTTCTCAGTGAGTTTGCCCCTTGGTCTCAGCACCCTCGTTCCTCTTTCTCTCTCCACACCCCAGCTCACCTGTACTGAAAGGGGGCCACTGTGGCTGTGATTGGCTGGCTCTGCTGGTGGGCAGAGGAAAAGCTAATGACCCCAGGAGTAGGAGAGGGCCTAACGCTGTGCACGGGGCTGCAGACTGGAGAGGAAGTCCCAGAAGCTGCCCCTTCATCAGGCTCCAGAGACATAGGGCGTTTGTAGGTTTTGTCTCTTTGTTCTTTTCCCTGGCAGGTAGGGAGCATTCGACCTTCAGGAGGTCCTGGAATTTGAGTTTCTCCATAACAGCTTGTCTGGGGTGGGCTCCTTCCCCTGGACTGGAGAGCAGAGATCCCTTCCTGGGTCTTCTTCCTCTGGGTGCTTTGTGTCTCCCCAGTTCTTCTGGATCCCGCCTGACTGGAGAAGGCTGTTTTGTGGGTTATCCTGGGGCTGCTCCAAGGGGAGCTGGGGAGGCTTTCTACACTCTCAGCCAACTCCTTGGCTGGCCCTGCAGCCCTGGGGGTGCCTCTTCCTCTGTAGGCCTTGGGCGAAGAGTTTCTGGAAGAGACTGCAGTCTTGCCCCGTCTTGGGGAGGTAGCACGCTGGGGGCTCAGGGCCAAGTCAGCCTGCCGAGGCCGCAGCTGGGGAGAAGCGCCTGGGGTGTGAATCCTGGTCTGTGAGGAAGCTCGAGGCACAGGGATGGAAGAGGCGTAGTGTGAGCGGCTGGCAGAATTCACGTTAGCCATCCCCTGCATCGTCAGCGACAGGGTTTGGGCTGTACTAGGACCCTGCAGAGATGGAGAATAGGAGAATGTCAGGTAAAGCCTCACGTCCCTGTCCCTGGTGCATAAGGATGGTGCTGGCATTGACAGATAGCTGTGGGCTTCCTGCCCGAATCTGGACAAACAGGTAAGCCTATGCACGAAAAGCCTGCAAGAACATGCTCTGTGCGTGTGAGTTTTGTTTGACTTTCCTTGACTCTGCTCCTCTCCAGTGATGGAGACAGACTCACCTCACAGATGCTAGGGGATCAGGACTTTCGGGGTACCCTAAGTCCTTTAGATACCTCCCGAGGGAAATGTAATATCCTCCTACATGCCATTGGAACCAATGACATGCAGACTACAGTTCTTCCGATCCAGAAACTTGTCTCCGTGAGGCCCAGGCTCCTCCCATTCTCTTACCCTCCTAGTTGATGACCTCTTATGGTCTTTTTCTAATCCTACAACCACAGGGGATTTGAGCACCTGGCCATGGGTCCTCTCTGCTCGTTCCCCACCTGTATCCTGCATCCTCAAGACTGTTCTTTGCCACTTCCTCTCCCCCTCATCTAACTTCAGAAACCGAGGATCTCACTGAAGGTCAAATACCGTCAGTCACCAGTGTGTCTTCCCTTTTCTTCCACCTCAATCCATTCATTATCCCATCTCCCTTCCAGATCTCAGCCTCCCTCTCCCACCCCAGTTCCCCAGTTCTGCCATGTTAATGAGTGAAGAGAATTATTCAAAGAGAATCTGTAGCTGTTACAAAGGCACATGTAATTAAATCTGGATCAATTTAAGAGTCAAGTCTTTAAAAATCAAAACATAAGTATTTACAGAATACAGACACGAACATGTCCATGATTTTGTTATGGGGAAAAAAAACTTTCTAAGCACCACATCAAAGGCAGAAATAATAAAGGAGCCCGTGGTGGCGCACACCTTTAATCCCAGCAGCACTCGGGAGGCAGAGGCAGGCAGATCTCTGTGAGTTCTGCAGAGCGAGTTCCAGGGCAGTTAATGCTGTCACACAGAGAAACCCTGTCTCGAAAAATGCAACAAAATAAGAATAAATGAATAAAAATAAAATAAAACAAAAAAAAAAGAAGCCAGCAGCAGAGTCAGGGATGTTTATGCCATTGGTGACCTCTCCCTGACCTTTGAGCTGGGGCCCGAGACCAGCTGTGGACTAGTCTGTGAGAAGCCAAGATAGATGCTCCAGCCAGGGTGGGTCTGTATAAGCAACTTGGAGGCTGTGAGAACATACAGGCGTTCTCCCAACAGATGACAAGAAAGAGAAGCCATGTCCTCTCCCCTTCCTCCAGTTTATACTTCAGTGGCCTGATAACATTACTGGATGACCTAAGGTACCCTCTACTTGCTCCATTAGAGGTAGCTAGCCAAGCCATGTGCATTCAGAGACCACAATGAGCTCTCTTCTGCCCCTCCAGGGTCGCTGCATGGAGGACCACACCCAAGGCTCAGCTGACTCCTGGTTTCTCTGCTGTGCACTCCTAGCCCTCCTGCCTGGTGGGACTGAGGGAGTGAGTCACCCCTGGCCTGCTCGGGGTGCACAGTGTCCTGCTCTGTCTTCAGTCCCAGCATGAAAGGACCGAGGAGTCCTCCCACAAAGATATCTGAGAGGAACGCAAGCAAGTACTGCCTGTACCTGCTAGGACTTGGAAAAGTTCATGCCTCTCCATGCCTGAAAAACCAAAGGCGCGATAAGACTGAGGTGCAAATCATGAGTTCTTCAACAAGAAGAGAGCACCCTGCTAGACAGCCTATGGCCTCAGTGGGGTAGAGGGAGGATATAGCCTGTCATTGGCCTTCCGCCCAGCACCCCCCCCCCGCCCCGCATAGTGGTCAGCTCTGTCTGTCAGCTTTGGTTCCGAGCCCTAGCCTGGAGGTTTATGTGGGCTCAGGGGGCTGACCTTGGCCTAGAACACTGAGCTGCGCTGGACTCTGAGCACTGGAGCTGACAAGCAGGCCCAATTGCGGCAAAGGCTTTAGACTACTGATCTGTCCTACCCACGCTCAAGACTTCGGCATTTCTATGCTCTAGCCTCCTTGGTAAGCTGCTGCAAAGGCCTATTTCTGCTCCCATCCTTAATCCCAATCCAAATCCAACGTGGGGACCAAACCCAATCAGTCCACTCAAACCACCCCTTCTGGAAACTTCGTCTTTAAGAGAATTTACAAATTGCATCTTGGTTCAGCCTGATTGATCGAGTGTCTCCAGGGTGCTGTGCCCTGACCCAAAGACCCATAGCAGCCCACCTACCTGCTCTGCCAGGAACCGCCAGCTCCTAGCTCTGTAGGACCTAGTCTGGACTTCTTGGCCTCAGATGTCCCCACGCCCTCTGGCTAGGGCTGGCTGGCTTTCCAGTTCTCGCAGTCTGAAGGCCAAGGCTGCTTCTAGCTCCCTTGCTAATGGAGTATACCCACTCACTGCTGCTTTCCCTAGATCATCATTTTTTAAAGAGCATGATGGGAGAGGACTTTTAAAACCATACCATGGTAGGTTGCTGGGGCCCCGCCCTGCCTCTCCATTGCAGTTGCTTGCCCTTCCTCCTCAGAAGGTTGCCCTCTAGGAGACTGGAAGCAAGATGCTGCTTAGGAGGTGACAGCCATTGTCCCAGGTGGAGCCTTAGAGTGATGGAGGGTCACGCACCAGGCAGCACACTATTCTAGCTTGTGGCAGAGGGGTCACCGAGGGGCATTCCTAGTTTGCATCTAAGTGAGCATCTCTGGCCACTTTAAGGTGAACTTGCACATCTGCTCTTCCCAAGCCGTTCCCTGTGTACCTAGGAGCAGTCTCTCTTAGTGAGACATTTCAAATCCTCACAACAACCTGAGAAGGCAAGTCTTACCATTCCCCCTTTCATGGGATAGGAAGGTGATGCTGCGGTTAAGTGAGTTGTGCCAAGGTGTACGAGAGAGGGGGTGAGCCCTGCGGATCGGCAGGCTAAACTTACCATGTACCCAGCCTCAGCCCCAACACCCCTTGTGCCATGATGGTCTCTCCCTTGCTGTCATGCTGTTCTGAGCCTCTCAGAGATGGAGCCGGGGAAGGAGATCAAGTCCATAGGTTGGAGACCAGGGCAGGAGAAAATCGGTCATAGGCACCACTGGGTGGGGAGCTCTTCTTCCCCCCAACATCTCTTATATCTTATACTCTCTGTCCCCCTCATTCTGTTTGCCTTGGGTGGTTGGAAGTATAGGCGGGACTTCTGGGCAGAGAGAGGAAGTAGGAGTAGACAGTCTAAGTGTGGAGGAGATGCCAATGAGACAGACATAGAGGGAGTCAGACATATAGAAGAAAAGGTAAAAAGCCACATGGTAAAACACAGATTAATAAAAGCAGGTTGATTGGAGTTATAAGAACTAGTGGACAGCTGAGCTTTCATAATTAATAATAAGTCTCCGTGTTATTTGGGAGCTGGCTGGTGGGACAGAGGAAGATTCATTACACCCATACTGGATATGATTCCACTCAACCGTCTACCAGAGGAAGGAGAAAGAGACTGACCAGTTGGGAAAACATGTGGTGTCATGGTAAGCGGAAGGCCAGTCTGAAAGGTTCATCACTTCTCACTATGTGGCTTCAGGAAAGTTTTCTAAGCCTGAAAAATTTCTCTCACCTGCAAAATCTGGTCATGGGCTTTCAGAAAGATCAAATGAAGGAATAAAATAAGACACTCAGTATAGTAACAGGAACATAGCAGTGATAAAAACTATGTTAGAACATCTGTCCCTCCTTCAGGGAGGAAAGGAACCAAATTCAGATGACAAGTGGGATGGCCTGATATTTTTCAGTTCAGACAAGAGGCTGGTGGCCTCGGGTGGAGCAGCCCCTGGATCCCAGCGTGATGTACAGCACACTCATCAAAAACTTGCACTTGATCAACCCACCCTATCCCCTTAGTGTCTATACTCCAACTACCTGCTCTCACACACTCACCCTGGTACCACAAACACGTATTTAAAGATTTAATTTTAAAACCCTTGCGTGGGTGCCTACAGAGGACAGAGGATCCACTGGAGCTGGAGTTACAAGCGGTTGTGGCTGCCTGGCGTGAGTCCTTTACAAGATCAGGAAGTGCTTTTAGTTCACCAGCATCTTTCGAGCCCCTTATATTTTATTTTTAAACTAAACTCCTTTTAGTTGCCTTTCTGGGCTGCATGCCTGACACCAGTCTAACCATTCTACTGCAGTAACTTGCAATTGTCCTACCCGTTGGTGTCACCATCATCCCTGCTTCAGAGGCACAGACTACAAAACCCAGGTAGGCTAAGGCTCTTGCTCAGGATCACACGGCTACAGATGGCAGAACCTAGGAGACACCTACAGAGCCCAGATCCCAAGCCTCTGTTTGCCGCTAGCCCACTGCAGCTTCCCACCACATAGCTGGAACAAGCCTCCCTTCCAGCCCCCATCCCATCTCTTCACTCTGGCCCCAGGCCCCATCAGGACAAATGCCAGCTAACTGGCTTAATGCTCTGCAAATCCCGGAGCCAAGAAGTATTTTGGGTCTATAAATATTTTACTCAAGCTTAGAAGGTGGTGAGAGCCCAAGCGCTAGCTCCCTCCATTCTGCAGAGCCTAGGCAGGGTGTTTGGGGAGGAAGGTGGTCCATTATGAGGCTGGAGAACTCTCCAGATCGCTAGTTCTGGACTAGCTTTCCTCTGTCGGATCTGCCCTTGAGCAGCAGCCCGCAGTCATGGCAGGGTGGGCGGGATCTGGTCGTGGTGCTGATAGGACAGCTCCTCTTGCAGCTGCCAGTTAAAGAGGCCGCCACAGATCTTTGGGGAAGCAGTTAAGATGCTTACTCCATAAAGTCAGCCATCTTAACCACAGTATGATGAGGATGGATATGTTATGTTGAAATTAAAAAAAAAAAAAGGACGGAGGAGAATAAAGAAAAAAGGGAGAGAAAAGAAAAATATAGAAAAGGGATGGAGGAAAACAGCCATTGTTGGCCTGGAGCAGTCTACGGAGCACAGAGATGCAGACCTGGAGCCAG